AACCAGAGTCACGGAACGGATTAAGTTCGTATCCCGAGGTACCACTGTACTTATTTGAAAAAAGTGAAACTAATAAAGTGTTTCTGACCATTCCAGGGAGAAAGTCTTACAAACTTTTGTCTTTGTTTTGTTAAAAGTTAAATCTTGTGATTTCTATCAATTATTATCTCACCACTGATCACATTTTTGCATACTTGCCTTCATGAAAATGAATATTTAGTATTGAAGCTAGGAGCAATAAATCTGGACTTCTATATTTATCTCATACTTTTAGTATGCTATTTATAATAAGATAATCTGTTATAGCCTGGACCTTCTATCTGTATCCAACCAAAGAAATTTGTGCAAGCCTTCTGGGAGTTATGTTCCTTTAATAGAGGTAATCCAGTTGTATGGCTGTATAAAATAATCTGTAATCCAAGTCAAACAAGTGGCTTGATAATATAATCTAAGGTACGGTACAGCCAGTCTACCTCATTTTTTTCATGTCTTACAAAATCCTAAATTTAATCCCTGCTTTTTTGTTTGGTCAGATGTTTGCCATTCATTCAATATCTTTTACATGTGGGACATGTGTGCAGCACATGTTAAAAAGGGGCAGGCTTTCATCAACAGTATCAAAATGCCCACAATTTTGATAATATTGACTCCACTGCAGACACCCTGGAATTAGCTAAGCCTGAGTGGATCAGGATCGTCTTCAATACCTTTTGTAAAGAAATGTTCTGTAAATATTTTTATTGAGTAAAAATATTTACAGAATACTTCCCCCCACCTATCCACAGAATCAGGCCCAGTGTTCTTTTGAAATTTTTTTTCAACTCCTTATATCACATTATAGATTTCATGAATACAAGACAGAGTGCAGAAAAAGAATTCAGTGAACACTTTCATTGTGCCAATTTATTAAGGACTTAGAGAAAAACCCATGCAAATTAATCCAGAGGGACAGTTTTAGCTACAGAACTTAACTAATTCTAAAATCAAGAGAAAATTAATTTTAAAACATGCTCTTCTTCTTTTATATAAAGATATCATATATTACAGTATGTGAGGAAATACAGTGGTACCTCTACTTACGAACTTAATCCGTTCCGTGACTCTGATCGCAAGTCAA